AAAAAAAAAAAAAAAAAAAATTAGCCAGGCATGGTGGCAGGCACCTCTAGTCCCAGCTACTCGGCAGGCTGAGGCAGAGGAATCGCTTGAACTCAGGAGGCAGAGGTTGGAGTGAGCCGAGATTGTGCCACTGCACTCCAGCCTGGGCAACAGAGCAAGATTCTGTCTCAAAAAAACAAAACAAAACAAAAAAACAAAACCAAAGGTGGAAGAAAATACTCAATGAGATAGGAAAGTATTAATAATATACTAAATAAGTTATACTGTATAATCATATTTATAAGTATGTATACAGACATCTAAAAAAATTGATAGAAGACTACAATCAAAAGTTAATAGTTGTTATCACAAGGTAAAGGTTGCTTGCTTGTATTTCCCAAACTCTCTAGTAAATCATGTATTTTTTTAATATTGCTGAAGAATTGTGATAATTTTTTATACTATAAATGAGAAACACTTATTCATATTATACCAATAAAAATAAGATAGGAAGACACTGTTTTAAAATCATATGGCTCATGTCTGTAATCCTCTTTGGAGGCCAAGGCATGAGGATCGCTTGAGATCAGGAGTTTGAAGCCATCCTGAGCAACATAGTGAGATCCCCATCTCTACAAAAATAATAATAATAACATAAAATAATTATGTCCCAAAAATAAGTCATGACAGAACAGTATCTGGGATTTTATTATGTCTTATACAAAATAATATAAAATTGAAAGCTGAAGGTAGCTGAGAAATTTCTAAGCTCTTATTAACTATATTCAAGTACTGTAACAGCAACAAATATAAACAAAAACCTTTAAAACGGCTTTTTGGCGAGATGTGGTGGCTCATGTCTATAATCCCAGCACTTTGGGAGGCCAAGGCGGGAGGATCACCTGAGGTTGGGAGTTCGAGATCAACCTGATCAACCTGGATAAACCCCATTTCTACTGAAAATACAAAATTAGCTGGGTGTGGTGGTGCATATTTGTAATCTCACTTAGGAGGCTGGGGCAGGAGAACTGCTTGAACCCGGGAGGCTGAGGTTGCAGTGAGCTGAGATCAGGCCACTGTACTCCAGCCTGAGCAACAAGAGTGAAACTCCATCTCAAACAAACAAACAACGACAACAACAAAACTGCTTTTAAGAATTACTTTAGGCTGGGCATGGTGGTTCAGCCTGTAATCCCAGAACTTTGAGAGGCTGAGGTGGGCAAATCACCTGAGATCAGGAGTTCGAGACCAGCCTGACCAACATGGAGAAACCCCATCTCTGCTAAAAATACAAAATTAGCTGGGTGTGGTAGCATATGCCTGTAATCCCAGCTACTTGGGAGGCTGAGACAGAATCACTTCAACCTGGGAGGCAGGGGTTTGAGTGAGCCGAGACTACACCACTGCACTCCAGACCATGCAACAAGAGCAAAACTCGGTCTCAACAAACAAAAAAAGATTTACTTTAAAACTGATACACTGTAACTTATTCAGAATAGCCACAATGTAGAAGCCACCCAAGTACGCATCCACAGATGAATTAACAAAACGTGGTATGTATATACAATAGAATATTATTCAGACTTAAAAAGGAAAAAAATTCTGACACATGCTACAACATAATGAGCCTTGAAGACATTATACTAAGTGAAATAAGTCAGTCACACCAGAACAAATATTGTATGATTCCAATTATATGGGGTAGGTAGACGAGTCAAATTCAGAGACAGAAGGTAGAATGGTGATTGTCAGGGGCTAAGGGTAAAAAAAAATGAGAGTTAGCATTTAATGGGTACAGAGTTTCAGTATGGGAAGATGAAAAAAGTTCTGAAAATGGATGATGATGGTTGCATAATATTAATGTACTTAATGCCAATCAACTATATGTAAAAATTGTTAAAGTGGTAAATTTATTTTTGACACAGCATCTCGCACTGTTGCCCAGGCTGTAGTGCAGTGGCGCAGTCTCAGCTCACTGCAATCTCTGCCTCATGAGTTCAAGCAATTCTCCTGCCTCAGCCTCCCGAGTAGCTGGGACTACAGGTGTGCATCACCACACCCAGCCAATTTTTTTGTAGTTTTAGTAGAGACGCGGTTTCACCATGTTGGCCAGGATGGTATCAATCCCCTGACCTTGTGATCCGCCCGCCTGAGCCTCCCAAAGTACTTGGATTACAGGCATGAGCCACCGCACCTGGCCAAAGTGGAAAATTTTATGTTTTATATATATATAACCACAATTTAATAAAACGGATATAATATGCTCCTGCCCCTTGGATGGAAAAAAAACCTGATATAATACACAAAATACAGATTCTAAAGTAATGGAAAATAAGATTCTCAGAGTTATAAGGGTCATTTATTTACACAAAATATAATGATTTGCTTTCAAAGGCAATTCAAAAAGGACATTCTGGCTATGATTTGTTACTCTCTTAATTTTGAAATTGCCCCTCTTCTCAGACACAATTCAAAAGAAAAACAGAGACCAAAAACAGCAGAATCCAAAATGTCCTATACTCCATAAATGCAACTTTACACATAAACAAAATAACTGCTAAGTAATATGTAATATAAAAATAGCTGTGTGGATCCAGGTGTGGTGGCTCATGCATGTAATCTCAGCACTTTGGGAGGCCGAGGTGGGCGGATCACGAGATCAGGAGTTTGAGACCAGCCTAGCCAACATGGTGAAACCCTGTCTCTACTAAAGATACAAAAACAAAAATTACCTGGGTGTGGTGGTGTGCAACTGTAATCCCAGCTACTCGGGAGGCTAAGGCAGGAGAATCGCTTGAAGCAGGAGTCGGAGGTTGCAGTGAGCCAAGATTGCAACACTGCACTCCAGCCTGGGCAACAGAATGTGTTGAGTGGGATTATAAACTTTTAGGGTTGATAATCTATCTTTAATGCAAAAATTCACACAAAAAAAGAGAGGCAAGATGTATTTTAACCTGCCTTTATTAGGAAATCACTTTTTGAATGACAAAAATCAGCTAGCCTGCCAAAAAATTACTAGTATCCAAATCACCTCATATCAACAGTATGTCCAAAAAAGGTACCCAGTACATTTATCCCAAGGAAATTATTAAAAAGTAATAAGCTTTAAGAAGCATTTACATGGTTATTAAGAATCCTTAAGTCAGCTGGGCACAGTGGCTCATGTCTGTAATCCCAGCACATTGGGGGGCTGAGGTGAGTGGATCACTTGAGGTCAGGCATTCGAGACCAGCCTGGCCAAAATAGTCAAACTCCATCTCTACTGAAAATACAAAAATTAGCCAGGTGTGGTGGCACATGCCTGTAATCCAGCTACTTGGGAGGCTGAGGCAGGAGAATTGCTTGAACCAGGGAGGTGGAGGTTGCAGGGAGCTAATATTGTGCCACTGCAATCCAGCCTGGGTGACGGAGTGAGACTCCATCTCAAAAAACAAACAAAAAGAATCCTAAAGTCAAAGGGGCATTAATTATTCAGGCTGAAAATCAACCTCAAATTGCTAGGTAAAAATACCATTTTTATATATTATGTCTTTTTAGAAATCTTTTTTTTTTTCAGAGACAGTTTCACTCTTCTCGCCCAGGCTAGAGTGCAACGACGCGATCTCGGCTCACCCCCAAAACCTCCGCCTCTTGGGTTCAAGCAATTCTCCTGCCTCTGCCTCCCGAATAGCTGGGATTACAGGTACTTGCCACCATGCCCAGCTAATTTTGTATTTTGATCACAGATGGGGTTTTTCCATGTTGGTCAGGTTGGTCTCGAACTCCCAACCTCAGGTGATCTGCCCGCTTCGACCTCCCAAAGTGCTGGGATTACAGACGTGAGCCACTGCGCCTGGCTAGAGATCTTTTTAAATGAAAAACTAAACCAAAGAATCACTTGGCTCATGGCCTCAGCTGAGATGTGGCTTAACATATGGCTGAACTACATAGTTTGGGTCAGGAAGAAACAAGACAGAAGCACAATTTGTGCTCTAACACTGAGCACACATATGAAACACTGTGTGGGGGTGTTGATTTATTACTCTACCACCAGATCTTCTTGGCAAAGAGTAGTGCAATTCTGAATAATCTTGGCCTCATATAATCATGAATATGCAAATTGGAGGAAAACCCACATATTATAAAGACACAGATAAAGGTATTTATTTTAATAACTGTTGGAATATTATTCCATCATTAGTCTAAGGGTAAAAATCAGGTGTTACTGGTAAAGGATGGGGTCTGGAGCATGAGATAGTACACTTAAGTTCAATTCCCAATATAAATTTGGCTATTTAAGATTTTTATTTCTGGACGGGTACCGTGGCTCATGCCTACAATCCCACCACTTTGGGAGGCCAAGGTGACTGGACTGCGTGAGCTTAGGAGTTCAAGACCGGCCTGGGCAACATCTCGAAACCCTGTTTCTACAAAAATTAGTTGGGTGTAGTGGTACATGTCTGTGGTCCCAGCTACTTGGGAGGCTGAGGTGGGAGGACTGCTTGAGCCCAGGAGGTTGAGGCTGCAGTAACCTGAGATCATACTACTGCACCACTGCACTCCCGCCTGGACAACAAAGCAAGACCCTGTGTCAGGAAAAAAAAAAAAAAAAAAAAAAAAAGATTTTTAGTCTTCCTATCCAAATGAAAAGTGTTCATCTTTATAACTATTTTTCCCTGATATGAATTTCCATTTTCATCCTTTTAAAATAAACTAAAGTTTTTAAAGCATAAAGCATACAAAATTTCATGCAACTTTTTTTTTTTTTTTGAGATGGAGTCTCACTCTGCTGCCCAACCTCAATGCAACCTCTGCCTCCTAGGTTCAAGCAATTCTCCTGCCTCAGCCTCCTGAGGAGCTGAGATTAAAGTAACGCACCACCATGCCTTGCTAATATTTTTGTAGTTTTAGTAGAGACAGGGTTTTGCCATGTTGGCCAGGCTGTTCTCGAACTTCTGACCTCTGGTGCCTTGGCCTCCCAAAGTGCTGGGATTAGAGGCATCAGCCACTGAGCCCGGCCCCATGTAACCTTTTTTTTTTTTTTTTTAAATATCTTATAGATGAGGTCCCATTTTGTGGCCCAGCCTAAAGTGTAATAGCGCAATCATTAACTTACTGCAACCTTGACTTCCTGGGCTCAAGTGATTTTCCCACCTCAGCCTCCGAAGTAGTTAGGACTATAGGTGTGCACCACCATGCCTGGCTAATTTTTTGTTTTTCTGTAGAGATGGTGTCTTGCCATCTTACTCAGGCTGTTCTCCAACTTCTGGGGCTCAAGCTCATGCAACTTTAACAACTTAAAGATGTCTGGCTTCAAATGATAAAGAGCAAAACTACTCTATTAAATGAGGTCAGTTTATTTTGATTACATAAAGTATGTACATTATTTATCATATATCCACAGCCTGAAAAAAAAAAAAGAAAGACTTGAAGAAAAAAGATTTTACCTAAAAAAGGCAATAAGCTACATATTCAGATTGGCTGGCAATCAATACAATACTACAATTACCTTCTAGGAACAGTTATTATAGGAGAAAAGGAACACACTCTATTATAAAGTCAGCTATGTCTGGGTGCAGTGGCTCACGCCTGTAATCCCAGCACTTTGGGAGGCTGAGGTGGGCAGGTCACCTTAGGTCAGGGGTTTGAGACCAGCCTGGTCAACATAGTGAAACTCTGTCTCTACCAAAAATATAAAATTAGCCAGGCATGGTGGCAGGCACCTATAATCCCAGCTACTCAGGAGGCTGAGACAGGAGAATCACTTGACCCTGGGAGGCGGAGGTTGCAGTGAGCCAAGATCTCGCCATTGCACCCCAGCCTGGACAAAAAGAGTTTCAAAAAGTTTTTTTGAAACTCCCTCTAAAAAAAAAAAAAAAAAAATGGTTTACAAAGTCAGCTACAAAATGTAGATAATACTATTTCAGTCTACAGGCATACCACCATGAACCTGCCTGATCTCATCTGATAATACAATTTCATAGAATTATGTGGAAAATAAAAATTACACACACACACACATACCCCCCCACACAAAGTACTTTGCACAATAAAGGCCAGTTAATAAATATTCAATAAATAGTAGCTATTATTTACTACTTATTTATTCAGTTAACTTTTCTGGGACTTGGTTTTCTGACTTTTAATAATAATAGGTCAGGGTATAGGCTAAGATTAAAAAAAGATTAAAATAATAGGTATAGGTTCTGTAAATAATTATTGAAAAGATTATCTTAAATGTTGTATTTAAAGTGCCTAGTGAGCCAGGCACGGTGGCTCACGCCTGTAATCCCAGCACTTTGGGAGGCTGAGGCAGGCAGATCACAAGCTCAAGAGATTGAGATAATCCTGGCCAATATGGTGAAACCCCGTCTCTACGAAAAATACAAAAATTAACTGGGCGTGGTGGCATGCGCCTGTAGTCCCAGGTACTCAGGAGGCTGAGGCAGGAGAATCGCTCGAACCTGGGAGGCGAAGCTTGCAGTGAGCCAAGATCGTGCCACTGCACTCCAGCCTATGTGACAGAGCGAGACTCTGTCTCAAAAAAAGAAAAAATAAAATAAAGTGCCTAGTAAAATACCTAGCACAAGCAAGCACTGACTAAAATGACAGTATGAAAAATAAATAAAAATTAAAAAAATAAAATATTATGCAATGTAGAAAAAATATTATAGAACAGATTTCTCCCAAATCTATCTATATTCAATATTGGTGTTGTGCATCATTTTCTTGTTTTTTTGTTTTGTTTTGCTTTGCTTTTGAGACAGAGTCTCACTCTGTTGCCAGGCTGGAGGGCAGTGGCATGATCTCAGCTCACTGCAACCTCCACCTCCCTAGTTCAAGTGATTAGTGAATTATAGTCTGAAGAAGACTACTTACTGTATACTAGCTCAGGCAGAATTCCTAAGAAAAAATAAATGATGGAATGTGCTTTACAGAATAATCTAAAACTGGGAAAGTATAAGAATATGTTCAAAAGACTCTTAGCTGGAGAACTGTTGCCAAATCTTTACAATAAGGTTTGGTGCTGAGAAAAGAACTCTTTTTGTGAATCTAGTAGACAGTGACTTACTTACAAACTTAGGGGAACTATCTTAACTTGTGATCATAGAAAAAAAATTAAGAGGCAAATTTAACAGTCATATTGGTTTAGAGTAAAAAATCTGTTTAAATTTGGGGGAGGTAGTCAATAGTAAAGTACTACGTATTGCTGGGGGGAAAAACATTACCTGATCTCTTTGGAAATACCATTTTTAAAGTAGACACAAACTGCATGATCAGTTGCAAAAGATATATACAGAAGTATAATCAATTATGATACGAGCTTCAGGTCAGTAAAACCTAACTTGGTCAGGCAGGATTTTTTTGTTTGTAGAACAACAAAGAAATGCAGATTAAAAAACAGACAATTTCACTGGCTAGGCCCAATATGTATTGAAGTGGCCCTTTAGTCCATCTTTGCTTGCATGCTAACGTAATTTCTCCCTTTATTAGAGCATTTCCAAACCAAGATCTCTAGGTTATACTAATTAATCACAAAGCAGAGAGGCTAGCATAAATCTGACATTTTCTATAAGTGTAGGAAAGACTTCACAGCTTTCAATGGCCTATTTTCAAGAAAATAAAAGCTGCTTTGTTCACTTGCTCAGCTGCTTTAAAAACAAATACAAAGATTTCATGCTGCCATACTTTTAAAGAACAATACTTGTGAAACTGGATAATAAAAGCCAGACAGCAAAATCCAAAAGAAAAAAAATAACAGACACAATTTCATACAAGAAATACACTAAGCAACTGAGAAAAACAATCCTATCTTCCAAATAAATTAATTTTAAAGCTAAGTTCAACAATTTTCCTTTTGTCCTGATTTTATTCTTTCTTTTCAATCTCTTCCAGGAACATAGAGTACTAACCTCCTTCTACATGGCTAATAAATGATTTCAAAGAGCTTTAGAAAATGGCATTCCTTGGCCACCTACTCATTTCAGGTACATGCACCCCATCATTTAAATATTCCAGATTATTTCCTATGTAGCTAAATGTGCAGTAATAACACCACATTTCTATGTTTCCTCTAGGTGATATCAGACAAGGCAACAATATAGATCATTGTATATCTAACCCACAGGACTAGCTCTAAGAAACTTCTAAGTGTTCATTCAGTATAATTAACCCAATATTCAGAATTATTAACTTGTTTCTATACTGACCTTTGCTTTCGGTCCCAATGAAAGATTAGCCGTATTGTAGCAGCATGTCCCCAACTTTCCCCTGAGAGTAAAGAACATAATAACTGTATATTGCCTTACTTACTTGGTTATAAATTTCTCAGAATGCCTCTGATCAAATATAATCTTACTTTACTTAATTTAACATAACAAAAGTATACTTGCTTTAAAAAAAAAAAACCTGGGAAATGAGTAACATCCTGAGATTAAAAGATTTTTACCTATCTAGGGGAATATTGCAAATCATTATCCTCTATTTGCTTTGAGAAACCTTAATAGTCTGAGTCTATATATTTGCCAATTTTCCATATCATCAAGCCTATTTCTGACCTCCAGAAGAAAAGTAAAAACTCTGGTAGAATATTCTTTAAGATTTTAGTGGACATACATCTTGAAGCATTGCATTCTAACAAAACCACGATATTCACTGTAGTGTGATTTAAGTGGATTCACCCCTCCTTCTGCCTAACACTGTGAATTCTCCGGGGGCAAGAATCTTTGACACAGTAGTTGCTAGACAGTAGATCCTCAATTTTTTGAGACAGTCTCGCTCTGTCACCCAGGCTCGAGTGCGGTGGCATGATTCTAGCTTCTCACAGCCGCATCTTCCAGGTTCAAGCAATTCTCATGCCTCAGCCTCCCAAGTTAGTGGGATTACAATTGTGTGCCACCATGTCTGGCTAATTTTTTGTATTTTTAGTTGAGATGGGGTTTCACCATATTGGCCAGGCTATTATTGAACTCCTGGCCTCAAGTGATCCACCTCAGCCTCCCAAGGTGCTAGGATTACAGGTGTGAGACACTGTGTCTGGTCACTCAATGTTAAGTAACTAAAAGAAACAGTCAGTATCTAAGGGTGCTGTACTTAGAGCTAAGATTAACCAGTGAACAAGACAAATACAGTCTGCTTTCATGGAGCTTACAGTACTCAATGAGAATCAAATAAAAGAGATAGGAAAAAACTGTGATTAACTAAAATGTTTATCTCATTGATTACCCACCTAATGCAGGAATGAGCAAGGCCTGATTTTTATCAATCTTTGTTGTCATCTGATTGGTTAAAATTACCTATAAAAACAAAATGCAAGAAAATTAGGTGAGTCTCTTTAAAAATTATCAAGTAAAGTCTTGTGATTTTGGTAATCTGAAAATAATCTACCTATTTAAGACAGCCATTTATGTAATAAAAATTTTTCTGATAAAAAAACTTTAAAAATCTACCCATAAAATATGCAGTTATCTGAAAACACGATTCTACTGATCATAAAATATTTTATTTTCATACTTTAGAGATGGGGTCTTGCTAGGTTGCCCAGGTTGACCTTCAAGTCCTAAAATCACACAATCCTCCCACCTCAGCCTCCTGAATAGCTGAGACTAGAGGAGTTTGCCACATCTAACTCACAAAACTTTTTTTTTTTAAGGGACAGGGTCTTGCTATGTTGCCCAGGATGATCTTGAACTCCTAGGCTCAAGCGATCCTCCTGCCTCAGCCTCCCAAAGTGCTGGGATTATAGGCATGGACCACTGTGCCTGACCTACAAAAAAACTTTTTTAAAAATTAGCTGGGCATGGTGGTACACAGCTGTAGTCCCACCTACTCAGGAGGCTGAGGTGGGAGAATTGCTTGAGCCCAGGAGGTTGAGGCAGGAGTGTGCCGTAATCATGTCACTGTATTCCAGCCTGGTGATCAAGCAAGACCTTGTCTCAAAAAAGAAAAAAGAAAGATTGAGTCTTGCTCTGTTGCCTAGGCTGGAGTGCAGTGGCACAATCTCAGCTCACTTCAACCTCCACCTCCGAGGTTCAAGCGATTCTCCTGCCTCAGCCTCCCAAGTAGCTAGGATTACAGGTGCCTGCCACCACAGCTGGCTAATTTTTGTATTTTTAGTAAAGACGGGGGTTCACCATGTTAGGCAGGCTGGTCTTGAACTCCTGACCTCAAGTGATCCACCTGCCTCAGCCTCCCAAAGTGCTGGGATTACAGGCATGAGTCACTGCAACTGGCCTGAGTCCATGTTCTTTATCACTATTGCCTCCCCAGAATATTTTTATTCAAAGGAATATCAAATCCTTAATAAATACCTCAATGTTTACATTTTTAGGAAGGAGGCAAATATAGTATTAGTTTATAATCTTATAGAAAAAAAGAAACTGAGGCAACAAATTATGAGGAGAGACTTAAAATCATAAAGAAAGTACAATATAAGTAGATGAACTAGGAAAAAAAAAATCCTAGTAGTCAGGTCAAATGACTCCAAATTATGATTATGCTAGGCGACTAGTAACCGCCACAGGAGTTGCTTTGGAACTCACAGGTGGCCCTCAAAGTTTCATATTGTTAATTCTAATAAATACTGGAATAAATACTGACCTACAAAAAAGGTTCCAGGTTTTGAAAGATAATAATTTTAAATAAAACAGGGAAAACAAAAGTGTTTAAGGCTGACTTAACATAGAAGTCAGATCTGTTATTTTTCCACCACAAAATTTCCAGAAATGGTTACTTTATATATGCTTCTAATACAGATCTTCCCTCCAGAAAAAAGAGTTAATATTGCAAGCTAAAACTGATAACAAAATTCCATGAAAAACAGTAAGAAAAAGTTGTTTACTCTGAAAATGAATTTTTTACATAAGAAAAGAGAAACAGGCCAGGCACGGTGGCTCAAGCCTGTAATCTCAGCACTTTGGGAGGCCGAGGCGGGTAGATCACGAGGTGAAGAGATCGAGACCATCCTGGTCAACATGGTGAAACCCCGTCTCTATTAAAAATACAAAAAAA